TAGATCACTATTCTCCTGCCACACATTTTCATTTGAATTAGCTTCTCCTAAAATGGGCAGAGCTCCAAATGTGAATGTAAATACAATTTGAAAAATAACATGCAACATGGGTGACCATAGCATGTGCACTTCTCTAAAACCCTACTTTTAATTTTATTTAGTTCAAATCAATCACTCTGATTGATTAGTCAAACCTGTTTGTTCTCTGGGTACTTTTGTAAAATGTTATCCTTGCAGATAATCAACCAAGAGCCCAGCAATTCCCTCTATCATTCTTAGCAGAAATTATTATTATTACTGTATAAGGCAAGTAATGTTTTTATTTTTATTTACCATGGGGTTATAGCGACCCACAGTGGTGACATTCTGGAATACACAGACACACACGTTGGGTTTTCGTGTTTTATGGGAACATTCCATTGACATAATGATTTTTATACTGTACAAACTGTGTATTCTAACCCCACCCCTAAACCTACCAATCATTGAAAACTTTCTGCATTGTTACATTTTCAAAATACCTAATTTCATATGATTTGAAGTGGTTTTCCTCGTGGAGACCAAAAAAGATTTCGGATATTGCCATCTTTGTGGGGATATTTTATCCCCAAAACATAGGGTTTACCTGAACCACACACAGATGTTTTTTTACACTATTAGTGAAGATGTTGCACTTCCATTGATTTATCTGGTTAATGATATTTGATATTTTGTTTTGGCCAATTTATATTGCCTTTTAGAGTAAAATGTCCTCACAAGTCTGTTGTCATTAAATATTCAACTGTAGGTGAGGAGATTTGTCCTCAAAAGTATAATTAAAAAAGTAGGCTATACGCACAAACTGAAACTAGTAAGCCTATTTTTGAGGAAGGTTTTTCCAACCGCTGTATTACACATAATGGGTCAGAGGTTATTTTTGGTAATACACCCAGCAAGTTAGGCCATGCAACGAGTTTAAATTGACCGACAAATTTAGGCCTATAGTAATAGCAATAAAATGTAAGTAGGCTAGCTGTCATAACTGAAAGAAACTGTATTTTGTCTGTTACATGTTCGCGGGCTCGTTTTAGCCTAGCCTCCTATTTTTTTTTTTTTTTCCCTTTCCCAAATTAAGTTAAAAATAAAAAAGTTAGTATTAAAAAGTTTATTCACAAATTATCCCAGTTAACTCAAATATTTTTTTGAAAGTTTAGGCGAGGCGTTTGAGAAGTCATTTTGCAAAGAAATTATTTTATTTTTACTTACAAAAAAAATAAAAATAAAAAGGTAATTATATTTTAATTGCATTTCATTGATCCGATCTTTTTTATCCTCGTCGTGGCACTTGAGATATTGATAAACCTTGTAAAAATATTCATTACCAATGCATTGTTTACATTTGGCAGATATAGGCTACTGTTATACAAAGCAAGTACATTGTGGGAATTTAAAAAAAAAAAAACTCATGACCTTAGCTATGGGAAATTTCACGTTTGTTTTCCTCGGCAGAGGTGAGAAATAGCGTTATCTGTGTCGTAAATGCTCGCGCACAGACGCAATTTCCTTGAGTGGGAGAGACATGCTCAAGCGCTCTCCTATAGCTCACGTCATTACACAAGTGCTAGATGTCTGTTATGCTGCTGTTCAAGAAAAGTTGGCTCGGGTAGTTTGAAGGCTTTTGTGTAGATCCTATCTGCCAGGATAGCACGCGCAACACGCTCAGTCACAGGTGAAGGAAACACCAGTGTTGTCCCGAAACATTTTCATCCAGTTATCGTGTAAAGGTCCTCAGCGAACTTTTCCTATGTTTGAAACAATCGCAGTGAACATGACGAGTTTGAAGGCGTTTAGCGAGCCATTTGGTAAGTAAATCTTCGTGATTGATTTTTACTAATCTTTCTTTGTTTCTGGAGAAAACATGTGCTTACGAGTGGCAAAGTGATGGACGCTTGTTTTTTCTCTCTCTTGTTTTTTTCGCGGTCTTTAAGTAGGCCTACAGTACTTGGTTTCAGTTTTTCTTATTAATGCTGTAGCAAACGATACTATAAGTACTAAGGTCTTTGGTTGTTTTAAGTAGACAAATGCATTTGCAGTAAGTTAGGTTATATACAGTAAAAGGAGGACGCATCAAGTGCAACCCAGGTGGACTTTATCATGCTACAGCTATGGCGTGACTTCAGCAATACGGATGCCGTGTTTAATTTTAATTATTTGTTTGTTTTAGTTACTAAAACTTGCTGTTTGGATTTTTAAAGGCTTTTCTTCTTTGTATGTAGAGGTGACCGGGTTTATACTACAGTATTTGTTTGTGTTGCTTCTGCTAGTGTATGGGTGGCCATTCATAAGAAGATCTGTGCAGAGGGTTTTGCCCTGCAGGATTATATTATGATGTGGTTTACATTTTATCTGTTCAAGTGCATCCCGAGCAAGCAGCTACACGCTCTCTGCATTCCCTGGCTGAGCAGAAACACTCATGAATAGATGCAGGCTGCACAGGTTTGGATTCGTCTACAGTATGACTGGGGCTAAATGTGGCACCTGTGCGTTAGATAGATCTGTCCATGAGTTTTAGTTTCTCTCTCCACCTCTGTGAAGGATGAAACACATTTGTAGCACATACTGATATCAAATAACTTCGCATAAGCTTTTTTATTATTATTATTATTAGTGTTGGGTATTTTTGTTAGTGGGGCAGAATAAGTGAATATCTTTCCAGAGATATTATCAGCTCAAGGTGCTAGGTACTCTTTCCGGTTTGATGCTTACATCAGAGTTTGTTTCTTGTTTTTTTTTCCCCCTGCATGTACTTTCTGCAGTCACCATCGTTACATTAAAAGTGCGTTTCACATCTGACACCCGGCATCCTGTTTCAGCTGATGGATTTCTTAGAAAAATACCCTTTATATTATTTCCTACCATTTTTGGGAACCTCTTTATTCCTCTGAATTGTGTTTGCCTGTCTTTCGTGTGAAGCAGCGACAGTGGTCATGAACGCACACTGTCTGGTGTAGGCGAGACACTGGGGTGATAGCCAGTCTACATGATCGATCTTTTCCCTCACCAACCTTAGGAAACAGAATTTTTTTCTGTCTGAAGTTGTGTCTACTGTCCCTTTAACATAACTCTGTATAATAAGTTGCATTCTATTATGCTTTATCTTGAAAAAGAGAAGAATGATAAAAAGTAAAAAAAGTGCTTTAGATAGGCCTACTTATTTTGCAGGAGCTTGGACTATTCCAAGTGCCTATTGACCCAATGGTCATCACTTCAGGGCTAGCATCATACTGGGTCAGTGTTGGCGGAAGTTACTTTTTAAAGTAATGCATTACAATATTACGTTACTTCCTAAAAAATTAATGTAATGTATTATGTTACTTTTTCTCAACTGGGCTCGCTGGCTTGTTTGTTTTTCTTTTTGTTTTTTAATATATATATAAACCTTTCATGCCAAAAGTGAAATGAATAATGCAAAAGCACGCCTGTACAGTAGAGAGCTCAGCTCAAACCATAGACTGTAAAAAATAGGGCTCAAACAAACCTTTCAGTTTAGATCACAGAAGTATAGTGTGCATGAGAAGAAAATTCCAAACTTAATTCAGAAATAAAAACAAAAATTAAACCCAAATGTTATTGTAATCTGATTATTATGCTTAATTCATGGATCGTCAAAAGTCAGCAGCAAATACACTGGTTAATAAAGTGAGATTAAATGCATAAAGTATATTTGTGTTAAATACATAAAGTATGTTTAATTATTGCTGGTTTGCGTATTATCATGGTTTGCATTTCAGCGTTTGTCTTCATTTGAAGGAATACTGAACTTGTTCGAACTACAAGTCTGAGAGGACCCCCTTAACAATTGCTCAATTGCAAGCATTTGTTGCTAAAGAACAATGTCACGTCACAATATTGGAAATATTTGCATTAGAGCCAGACCAATATATCGTCAGGCCGATATTATCGGCCGATAGTAGGCATTTTCCAAACTATCGGTATCTGCAGTTATAATGGCCGATAAATGAATATTTCAAAAATAAAATAAAAACGGACGAAACATGCTTGAACCATGTCATGAGTGTTGGAGTTGTATAGTTTGTCCACCAGAGGGCACTCTACACCGTTCCTTTTGGCAACACTCGTTGAGTTGGTCGCAAGACATACATTGCTTGAATTACAATTATAAGAACATCCCCATCAGTTCTCTTAACTCAAATAGGCATGACAAAATTTGTGACTATCATGTCCAGTTTTGCTGCTGTTAAATAAGCCGAGAGTGAAACGGAATTAGCTAGTAGTAGTTACGTTACGTTGTTATAGTGTAGTTGACTGACTGTCCTTTTAACTTTTGACAATGTGACTGAAGTATTTCTTTAAAAGCGCGTGACAGTTATAGCAATGAGACGCATCATCTCTCCTTGCCTGTTGTATTGAAAATGTATGTTTTACAATTTGCAGTATGACATTATCCATTGCTAAATTATGGCTCATCATAGACTAGCTAACCATAAAGCTTGCTAATGCCACTATCATCAGTCTGTTCTGTTGTGACAATAAAAGAAACAAGTTTCTTTTTAAAATGCATTATCATATTATTTTAGTTAAAACTCATAAATAACTACAAGTAACTAATGTTAGGGAAATCTGTTAATGTTTTGTTGCGTGTTTCTGTAAAAAAAAATATATATTGGCCGATATATCGGAATACCGGATTTTAAAACCAAAAAATATTTGTATCGTATCGGCCTTCAAAATCCTTTATCGGTCAGGCTCTGCTTTGCATTTTAAATCATGAAAGTGCAAGTTATTAAGTCTCAACCCGAGCCAATTATTCACTTTATATAGAAAGTGAAATATAAAATATTCTACAAAATGTTTTGTTTTGTATAACTTAATTATATACCGTCTTAAATTATTTGACAAGGTATTTTTTTGAATAAGTCAATTTAGTAATCAAAATTTTATTTTTATTGCGACTCAACATAACTGAAATAATTGCGGGCCAAATTAATTGTAATATTAGTTTAATAATAAAAGTAGCCTAATAATAATCATTCAGATCAAGATCATCGCAGCAGGGGCTAAGTTGGGCCTCTAGAAAGGGGAGGGGCTTTTCCAGACCAAATGATTAGAGTAGTCCTTCATGTCACCAGAGGAAACTGTCATTACACAGGTTAAAAAAAGGTAAAACTAGAATGCCTGCATGGATAAATCTTTCACAATAAGATCAATAACATACTTTAAATAATATGTAGAATGAATTTTACTTCATGATGGCTTTAACTCTAAAAATATACCGGTAGTACAAACACAATTCCCCCCAGACATTAAAATGAAACCATTTCTTGACTGTACAAAGCTAATCAATATTTAATATGGCAAGCACCATTCAAAATTTGGTTAGTTGACTGTTGCTACTTGCTGTAGCATTCAAGGCAAGCTCAGCGTTGTTTTGGCATAGCAAATTGGGGCGATCACATTGAATGGCATCATCATTGTCTGTCTGTCTGTTTGAATCTGCCACATGACAGCGTTGCCACTGAATTGCACATGCACAGAGGCTTTCACAAACTGACACGCATTTCTCACACTTCCTTCCTCTTACTGTCACTTAGTCATTTTTACTAGCAGTCTTCTCATTTTCTTTATGCTGTTTGTTGGTTCCGTAATTCTTATTTTTCAGGAGTGTTTGTGATCTGCTGCTGCTCGGCTTTGTGGAATCCGGCAAGTAACTTGTGTACTAAAGGAGCCTTTGCGACAAAACAATAACGGGTTCTTTTCATTTTTGAAAATTAGATATATGGAATTTATGATTTTCGCCACTGATCACATTTTGTTCTTGCATCATCACTGTTTGTCTCAACCTGAATCTTTTCTTTCGTGCCAAATATATATTAGCACAAATTCTGTTTATTTATATTCACAAATGGAAAATGGGTTGTTGTTCAGTGTGATCATGTCTAACATGCGACACTGACGGGCCAATGTCGATGTGATGCGTGTTTGACCTTTGGGATTTTTGCAGGGAGAGTGGCTTCTGAACCGGTGGAGGACACTGACCCCAGCACATTCATTACAGAGATGGTAGGCCTATGTTGTTGTTTTTTCAAAAACAAGCCTTAGAGATTTTTTTTAGTAAAAGTCTTACTTTACTCTAAAAAAAGATTTGGGTGGAATGTTATGGATTGATGACGTTGGGTAATACCCACTGCAATGACACGGTTGAATCATATGTAGTGTTTAGATTTGGTTTGTTATGACAGACTACACGAGTTCTAAACATTGTCGTCTTTCATATTGTGATCAAATGCCACTGATTATGTAGGTTAGACATGATTTTCATACATGATATCAAAGTAGCATTGGTTGGGAGCAGCAGGTTTGAAACCCACACTCTTGCCTTGTTGTGTGACGCCCTCCGAGGTTTGTTCTAGCATGTTCTCTGCTCGTTTATCCACACATCTGAAAGTTTAATTTCCACTGTACGCACCTCCTCTCTTCAAATGTGTCCCAACATGTAGAAAGAGAAACAAAGGTGTATTGTTTACCTCTAAGGTCTTGATTCAGATGTGTGTGATGCAAGTTTGACCTCTGGGGGGTCTTTGCTGATGTTTTCTTTTCTGTGTTTCAGTCTCTAAGGTCAAATTACCCTGTTCAGGTCACTGATCCACAAGGTATCAGAGGTATTTATTGTTTATTTCTATTGTTGCTGCTTCTGTCATACACTGAATGTTTATTTTGTGTCTGCTTATTGAATCAATTCTGCTGATCTCAGTTCAGGTATTCAGAGTGGTGACCTTTTAAGGAGCCTCCACACTTTCCATTTAATCATGTTCAATTGGAATTTTTGTTTGTTAATAAAAGATCAGCATATTTATTCATAGAAATTTGACTTCTTGTTCTCTACAGATCCTGTAACCCTACAGCTCAGCTCTCTTCCCCCTGGTTATCTGACGTCAGCGGTGGGCCGAATACGACAGGTGAGTCATGTGTTCTTTCAGTTGCCTGATATCATTTCTTTGCATATAGTTGGGTCTGATCGCTTGCTATCATTATTTGCTGAAGTCACGTACTCATTTCTGACAACATCCTTATTTATAGATGCAAACTACACACTGTGTGGTGTACTGATTCTTGAACCGTTGTGTGATGTGGGCTGTGTAAGAAGTGTGGTTTTTGTGTAAATGCCAAAGGCTACATTTTATTCCACTTATCGGGACTGTGCGGTTGTTCCCCCTACTTGTTTCATATGTTTCAGTTGAGTGTTCTTCAGGGGTGTGAGTTCACTTGTTCTGTAGCCCTTATTTTAATGTATTTGTGCTAAGTGTGATAATAGAGCCTTCATTTTATACATAAGCCTTAACATCTATTCTTTTTCACCCAGCCTGTGGAAAATGACTGTACAGAATTTATTCCATCGGCATCTGTTTCATCAGGTATGAATCAATGGTAGATTATTAGTTTTATATGCTACAAGTGATCACAACATATATAGTGTAACAAATTTGTAAAATGAACAGTGTTTAAGAAATTGTTTCAAAATACAGTATGTACCTTTTTTGTTGTTGTTGTTCATAATTTACCTAATGAGCAAGTACAACATGAATGTATATTCCAAACCATGTTTTTATCTTATCCTGAAACACTACGGTAAACCTTTATTAAGTGTTTATATTCAGACTGGGTTTATATGTGGGTTTATATTTAGACCGGGCAGGACAACAAACAACCTCTTCGGAGTAGGCCAGTACCTGCGTTACTCGTCCTATACAGTACATAAACGGAGAGAAATAGTGCCGGCTACCAAGTTCTTCCGCAAAATTTACATAGTGCTCCTGCTCCTTTTAAAGTCCCCGTGGTTTATGGTGAAAATCAAGCTTTTAAAGTTGTTTATATTTCTATGTAATGTTTTACAAGCCATGTGCAAATTAATTGTGGAGTATTTTCTCCTTAAAACTGCAATGAAACAAAGACAGGAAAAAATCTCAAAAATCGCTGTTTCTGATGTCACAAACGACCTTTTAACCAATCACGTCAAAGAGTAAGGCATGAAGAATTTTTTTTTTTTTTTTTTTTTTTTCTTTTTTCAGGAATAAATATCAAAGATGAGTTTTAAGGGATCAAATTATTGACTACAGGGGGATTTTAAAGATTAGCTTTAAGTGAGCATTAGATGATGAGGTAAAGTTAAATCTAAATTAATTCAAGCAAATGAGCATGCACAATTAGCCAATTAAAAAAAATCTCTAAAATCTGCTGATTTGGTTACAATGTACGTTGCTTTCCTGTGTAGTAATCGACTGTTTGTGTAACACAGGGGTTTTCAAACTTTTTGTGTGTGTGGACCACTATTTGTAATCAAGAATTTTCACGGACCACCTCATAATACACATATTATGATATTACATATTATATTACATAATATATTTAGGTTCATTTGAACAACAGGCTTATTTCCATAGCAATGGAGTATCAAATCTATACAATAATAAGTACACGATTTTAGGGGATTACTAACGTTAATCTTCAGAGTTCTACAAGTCCTCAAAAAGTAGGCTTGAGTTTGTCCACTTAACAGCACATCCGCAAAACATTTCACTATGTAAACTAACGAGAACTGGAAATTAAAATAATAATAGGCCTTATTCATTCCATTTATAAACATTTCGTTTTATAAAAGGCCTAAACTGTCTATAAAAGCTATGCATGTGATTTGATAATGAGAACATATTTGCTTCTGCCCTATAACATTACACATTTAAAGAAAACACAGTAGGCCTAATGTTATTCCAGGTTAAAAAATAAAGTTGTCAATAAAAGCCATTGGAGTCTATTTGCCAGCCCGATATGAACGTAATATCCTCCTTTGTCACCCTCCACATCTTTCCCTTCCTCTTTGTATCGTCTGTCTAATATAGACCTATATTAAAAAACAAACAACTAAATAAAATGCTCACCTAACCTGTTGCTATCCACCGATCCGGTGTTGTGGTTCTGACGACAAGGAGCTTGAACGTCACGGCCGAGTGCCACTAGCCTATTTTAGTAATCACACAATAGCTTGACAATTTAATTTACATTTTATATAAATATAGGCCTACATATTCTTTTTAATGGGAATTTCTTGGTAAAATATTTTAGATTTTATTTTGCCTTTTCACGGACCACCTGCAGTACCCTCACGGACCACTAGTGGTCCGCGGACCACAGTTTGGGAATCGCTGGTGTAACACATTCATTCACACTAAAGTTTCAACAATAAATTTAGAATTCAGTAGAAATACTTTACTGAACTGAAATCGTGCATCAAAATTATTTAAAGATTATTTTAGATATTATACATAATGGTAACACTTTACAATAGGTCTCATTTGGTAACGTTAGCCGCGTTTCCACTGCCGGGCCAGGGCCGGGCCGTGCTAGTGCGTGCCAGGGCCAGTCGCGTTTCCACTGTCACTTCCGGGGCTTGATCGGGGCTTCCTCAGGGCCAACGGCCAGGATTTCTGGCCCGTCGAATACCTTGGGCCAGAGGGGGCCAGCTCGGGCTAGAGGCGTGCTCAAGGTAAAAGGCGGAGTTTATCGGTGTTATGGAAGTTATGATCTGAAGCAAGATGCACATAGGGGTGTCCATGTTTAACCGATTAACCGTTTAAAATTGCATAACATTTTAATTTGAACTGTAGGCCGACTGCTGCGCAAAAATATATAGGCTATATATAGGCTACATATCAACGAATTTTCAGATATTTGTTAGATTTATTTGCCCCTTAAACATTTAAAATATTTGACAAATTAATATAAAAAAATATTTATTTTACTGGTTTTCTGAGGCCAAATTAGAACCTGGAAATGATATTTTCCCCGCAGTGCTGAATGAGCCGTAACCACAGCCTACAGAAAGGGGATTATAGGTGATTTATAGGCTATAATAAAAGTGTCTGATAATAAAATAATATAAAATAACGAGGCATTAATTGTTTATTAATAAACTATTGTTTTCTAAATGATTTTCGGCTAAAAACATATCTCCATCTCGGATGCACATTTAGAGAGAAATTAATTAGCTAATTACATAGTCAGAAGATATTGGCTTTCGATTCGAATTTGTTCGTTTTAAATTGGACATTTAAAGCTTTAATCTACAAAGGATATAACCCCTGTAGACTAAAGCTTTAAATGTCCAATTTAAAACGAACAAATTCGAATGCGGTGGCTGTTTCAGGTCTCGCGCTTCAGTTCACGGAGATCATGAAGCGCGCCTTGATTAATTGTTAAAGCAACGTTTTCTTGTTATTGTGAGTTTACGCAAATAAATGTATTTGCGAATAATGTATTATTATTTTCTGTATGACCAGAAATGAAAGAGTATTTTAAGTTGTTTCCACTCACTGAAAGAAATGCAATGAAACTGAAAGTGTTCACATGGGCGTCTCGCAGCCATCAGTGCGTGCTCCACACACACTGGATATGCGCTGATATGCGTCAAAAATATTGTGTTTATTTGTGCTCTGTTCCTTTTTTGGATAAAGGCGTCTTCTACATATGCAGCCTAATAAAATGTTACAATAGGATGATGATGGTTATTATTATTATTATTATTATTATTTGCAGACACGGAGTTTTTGTGAAATGGACGTTTTGCTTATTTTCAATTGGCAATTTCAGTTTGAAGGGTGATGGAAATGCGGCTTTAACTGCTCCCTACTTGCTGCGTTTTATTTCTATACATTAATTTCGTTTCAAATGGGGTCCAATCAGTTATTAAAGGTGTTAAAAAATTAACTCTGTATCTCAAGGTTGCGGCGCGCACACTATGCACCGAGTAGGCTATTAACCGATGGGCCTCGGTTACGGTTAATGAATAACTTGAAAACGTGCCCGCAGCCCTACTTGTTATATCGCGCAAAAAATCGCTGCTTGAAATGGAGAATCGCCTGTACTGTTCTCGTGACACTATTGCAGCCACTACATGCTATCTTCCTAATTTAAAAAATAAATTAATTCATAATACCCGCTGAAATGGGTTGGGTTTTATGACGTTTGATCCAGAAAGGCGTGTTAGGGGTGGGGTCTGGGGCAGCGCTGTGGGGCTACTGGCCCGGCAGTGGAAACGCAAGCCCGGTGCTTGAGGCTCGGCTCGCTGTTAGCTCTGGCCCAGCCCTAGCCCGGCAGTGGAAACGCGGCTATTGGTAAATGCATTGGTTAACATATGTTTTAAAAGCATTCATGTGTTATTGTTACTGTATGTAAAAATATATTGTATTTTCATGTTAGTTCACAATGCATTAATTAATGTTAATAAACGCAACTTTTGATTTTAAAGATAAATTAGTAAATGTTGAAATTAGCATTGTCTCATTTTAATAAATGAAGTAGAAATATTGTTCATTGTAGTTCATTAACTACTGTAGATATAAGTATTGTTACTGTTGAATTAACATTTTGGATATATCCCGTAATGTCTGCTTGTCTTTCCCCACTCTCTAGACTTTAGTAAAGAACACAAGTCCTGCAAGGAATGTTTGTGTTCTGCCCCTCCACCCAAAATCAGTGACCTGATGGACGACGAAGACCTTCTGTACACCCTAAGGCTGAAGCTGGATCCAACTCACTGCACTGTCAAAAACTGGAAGAACTTTGCAAGCCGCTGGGGGATGAGCTACGACGAGCTCACGCTTCTAGAGCAGCGCACGCACGGCGCCACCTACCAGAGTCCCACTCAAGAGTTCCTCCTGCGCTACAACCAAAAACCTGTCACGGAGCTCACCGAACTTTGCCAACTTTACCAGCGCATCGATGTGCTCCGATTGCTCCAGAGGTGGTTGGAGAACGACTGGCCCTCGCGCTGGCAGAAGGCCCATTAGCTGGGACTTAATAATAACTGGACCCTAATGAATGAAATTTGTTCGTCGAATCTGAAATCCATGACTGCAGGGATGGACGGCAGGTCAGAACACACACTACTGAACAGTGGTGGTGCATAGACAGTGTTTACAAGGTTGTACACTGGACTTAGTTTAGTTTGATTTCATCACTCCAAGTGTCACAGATTGGTTCACATGTTTGAAATACATATATTAGCTATGCGATTGAAGGGTGAGCAACAAATATAAGCAGTGACGCCTCAGCACTTAAGGAGGAAATGGAAAGACCACTCAGGTGTGACTGGAAAGTCTCTGTCAATCCAGTCATACACTGTTTAATTTATTTTTTAATAGAAACAGCCATCTGTGTGTTGTGCCACTGTTGGTGGTTTTATGAAGTGTCCGTAATAACATTTGTGATGTTGAGTCATTTGAGATGGTTTCTCACCTTTAGTCTTGCCTGCATTTTAGTAATAGCCTATGAAATACTCACAAATGTGTGGCTGGTCAGGACACAAAAACTGAATCTCCTTCATTTCAGCTGTAGTTCAGCTTCCTATTAAGTTACTATTGCAATTAGGCATTTATATCCCAGGAAAATATGAGGTTAGAGGTTCATCATTTTTGATTGATGCCAAATCACATATAGATTACAGCTATTTTGGAGTTGATTCAAGTCTGTAAAAAGCAAAACAGCATAAAAGATGAGATTTGATGAGGTAAAAAAAAAAGTTTAACCTTGGGATTGATTTAATTATTGTCCTAGCTACAGGTATATGGTACAGGATGGTGTGCTTTGAATATTGGCTTTGTCTGTTAACCATTTGTTGAATTGAATGCAAGATGTAAGAAAAGTTTTTCTGACTATTTACGGTACACTAAAATTCGTTCTGCTCGTGTGTAGTCGGTTAAAGATTAAAAATTTAGATTTAAGTTACATATAAAACAAATTCACATTGCACTGCTTACTGAGCACTTGAATTTAGTATCGCGGTTGGTATGAACGGCACTTAAATTATTTTTTTGCCCTATTTAGAGTCTTTAAAAAAGATTTAGAATGTCTCTGAGAAAGGAGCAGTAAAATTGCAGTAAAACTGCAGAGAACCATGGATCTGGAAGTTGATGGAACTTACAGTCTGAGCTGGTTTAAATTTGGTAAATATCGAAAATATTTGATAGTTTAAAAAAAATGCTACTTTTTGCGTTTTCAGAATTCATGGTCAAATATCAGTCACAATGCAGGTAGTAAGGAAGGTTTTGACAACATTACCTCTTCTAAACAAGATTCTCTTTGTCTTTAAGAAGTGTTTGGTTTTGTGCTCTGTACTCTACCTAGCTTTTAATTTCTTGTCTGAATTTTAAAGCCACATCTGTTTGTGTGTATCAGAGGTTCTCTGTAAAAAATAAATAAAACATTTATACACACGGTATCTAAATATTTGTTAAAATTATGTTTGTCAATAGGTACAAAATGTTTTTTTCATCAACAATACGTTATGAACTAAAGGCATAGTTGATGTCAGAAGTGGCGAAAACTAAACAAATAATTGTAGATGTTTTACTGCTGTACTGCATCCATTTTTCATATCCTTAGAGTTTCTTTTTTTTTTAAAGTTTATATTATAAGCATCACACATAACAGTGTGACATAATCAAATCGGATGTAAGCATTAAAATAAATTAGCCATGTTTTGTTCAAATGATAAACTTTATTAAAGTACTTTAAGAGAATTGTGCCTTTTGAATATATGGTAGGCACATGGTTAATTAAAAAGATAGAATGCCACAATTCTTTTATTTGTTTTTTAATAGATGTAAGATCATGTAGACTTGTTTGGTGTTTTTTTTTATTCTCAATACTTTGTAAAATTATAAAAATAATGGAAAGAGGTGTAAACAAAATATATATATATATATATATATATATATATATATATATATATATGATAATACATACATGCACATACATTACATACATGCACAATACATACATTTTGAGACAATACAATCATTAAACATTTAAAGAGTTTATTATACAATTATGTATTTAACTGAATATAAAAATAATTACATCTCTGTCAAATTCTTTAATGCTTCTCCATTAATACTCATTTTTAAAGTAAACAGTTGTAATTTTTTTTTTCTTTTACATATTATTTTCAACACAGTCTCATGAAAGTGCGTATCTATACCACGATTGTCATTTCTCGTGGCATTTATACGCCAAAAATGGTTTTTGCGTGCATATGCTACACACTGAAAAACCCCTGGGTAGGTTTAGGGGGAAGGGCGGTGGGGAGTTTGTACTTATTATACACCAAAAAGTGCGTATCATATGCACGCGAAAAACGTGTACCATATACACGCAAAAACTAGTTTTGCCGTATAAATGGCACAAGAAATTACATTCGCGCTATAGATGCGAACTTTCAAGAGATCGGGCTCATTATTTTACATATCCATTGGTTTCATATGCAGTGAATATGGAACCACACTAACGAGGTTTTACTTGAAGTTTAATTTGATAAACCAAGCATGTTGTTCAAGCTGATGGTCATCTTGTCGTCATCGTCCTTGCTAGTAGTATCAACTACTGGATAGTCCTTATCAGCATCAGGCTTTGTGACTTTAAATGTTCCTCTGTTCACTTTTGTAGGGCTGCTTGGTTCTGGAGATATGCTTAAATCTGGGCTTGAGGTACGTGCATTAGACAACCTCAGCCTTTCCAGGATATCTACAGCTACTGTCTGTTCATTGACCCCAACAGATGGAGATGAAGCTTTCAGATTTGTCTGGACTGATGTGACCGAGGCAGCCTCGTCAGTACTGGTTTCTGCTGGGTCAGTATTGTAGTCAACTGCTCTATTGAGTTCTTTCAAGATTTTGTCAATGTTGCTGGCTGGCAAGCTGTGAGGCTTGAAGATGGGTATATTTTTGTCAAATTTTATTTCTGAAGTGGGACCATCTACTTCTTGTGCTTTGATGTTTATATCCCCATTCTTTGATTTGTGCCATTTGAAGGGCCATTTTATCCCACGTTTGGAGCCCTCAGCTTCAGCAGTGATGCCTGGAACATCTACATCAACCCCAGCATTTGGTAGACTCAAGTCAACATCAGGACTGCAAACCTCGGGTGCAGATAGCTTTAGATCTGGTGTACTTACATCAGCATCAATGTCAACATCAGGAGATTTGACTCTCAGGCTAGACAGGTTCAACTTTTTGAATGTTGGGAATTTCAGCTTTCCTTTTGGAGCAGTTAAGTCGACATCTGCTGTGGGAACATCTACATCAACCCCAGCATTGGGTAGGCTCATGTCAACATCAGGAGTACCAATCCCAGGTGCAGATAGGTTTAGATCGGGCCCACTTAGATCAGCATCAATGTCAACATCAGGAGATTTGACTTTTGGGTTAGACAGGTTAAACTTTTTGAATGTTGGGAATTTCAGCTTTCCTTTTGGAGCAGTGAAGTCAACGTCTGCTGTGGGTACATCTACATCAAGCTTCATATCAGCATCTGGGACTTTGACATCTGTATCAACTGTTGGAGATGAGATGCTGAGATCAGGGGATTCTGCATTTAAGTCAATCCCAGGACTCTTCACTTTAGGACCAGAAAGGTCAACTTTTGGTTTCTTGATTGTAATCAGTTTCAGCTTTCCAGATGGAGTCTTTAAGTCTGGGGAATTGACATCTACACTGGGAACACTGACTTCAGCTTTTGGTAAAGTTGCATTTACATCAGGCAGGTTTAGGTCAGCACCAAGTGCATTTAATTTTCCTTCAAGTTTGGGAACCGAGAGATCTTGATCTGCGTTAGTATCCAGCTCAGGCCCTTTTACTTTTGGCTCAGGCATATTCAGTTTTGGCAAATTGAAATGTGGCATCTTAAATTTTCCAGATGTGCCATTAATGTCAACGTCTGGGATTTTTAGGTTCGCATCGGGTCCTTCAAGCTCCGCTTTTGGCAAGTTTAAGTCTACATGTGGAGTGGGAAGATCTGGTGACTCTAGATTCCCCCCAATGGTCGCACTTGGAGCTTTTAAATTGGCTTTTGGCAAACCAAAGTCTAAAGAGGAAGCAGAAATGTCACCTTCAACTTTAGGTGTGGAAAGACTAAGATCAGGTGTTTTAACATCTACATTAGGCCCTTTGAGTTCTGTTGTAGGGATGTTCACATCTACATCAGGTGCATCTAATTTTGGTGTTTTAACCCGAGGTCCTGAAATACCAAACTTGGGAAACTTCATGTGAGGTAGCTTGATTTTGCCAGAGGGGGGATCAATGTCTATTTTAGGAGCATTTAAGTCAATGTCCGGGGCTTTGAGATCTACATTTGGACTTTCGATATTGGCATTTGGCAAGTTCAGATCCACATCTGGAGCACTAAATTTGCCCTCCACTTTGGGTGCTGAAAGACTGAGATCTGGAGCTTTCACGTCTAGGTCCGGTGCTTGGAGATCTCCCTGTGCATTGAGGTCTACATCTGGACCTTTCATTTTTGACCCAGATAGGTTTATTTTAGGCAGTTTAAAATGTGGCTTCTTTAGCTTTCCAGATGGAGCGTCAATATCAATATCTGGTGCCTGCACATCAACAGCTGGAGTTTTAATGTCTAGATCTGGTGCAGAGAGGTTGAGCTTTGGTGCTTGGAGACCTCCCTCTGCATTGAGGCCATCGACATCAACAGCTGGAGTTTTAATGTCTAGATCTGGTGCAGAGAGGTTAAGGTTTGGTGCTTGGAGATCTCCCTCTGCATTGATGTCTACATCTGGACCTTTCATTTTTGACCCAGATAGATTTATTTTAGGCAGTTTAAAATGTGGCTTCTTTAACTTTCCAGATGGAGCTTCAATGTCAAGATCTGGTGCCTGCACATCAACCGCTGGAGTTTTAATGTCTAGATCTGGTGCAGAGAGGTTGAGGTTTGGTGCTTGGAGATCTCCCTCTGCATTGAGGTCTACATCTGGACCTTTCATTTTTGGCCCAGATAGGTTTATTTTAGGCAGTTTAAAATGTGGCTTCTTTAGCTTTCCAGATGGAGCTTCAATGTCAATATCTGGTGCCTGCACATCAACAGCTGGAGTTTTAATGTCTAGATCCGGTCCAGAGAGATTGAGCTTTGGTGCTTGGAGACCTCCCTCTGCATTGAGGCCATCGACATCAACAGCTGGAGTTTTAATGTCTAGATCTGGTGCAGAGAGGTTAAGGTTTGGTGCTTGGAGACCTCCCTCTGCATTTAGGTCTACATCTGGACCTTTCATTTTTGCCCCAGATAGGTTTATTTTAGGCAGTTTAAAATATGGCTTCTTTAGCTTTCCAGATGGAGCGTCAATATCAATATCTGGTGCCTGCACATCAACAGCTGGAGTTTTAATGTCTAGATCCGGTGCAGAGAGGTTGAGGTTCGGTGCTTGGAGATCTCCCTCTGCATTGAGGTCTACATCTGGACCTTTCAATTTTGGCCCAGATAGGTTTATTTTAGGCAGTTTAGCATGCGGCATCTTAAGCTTTCCAGATGGAGCTTCTATGTCAATATCTGGTGCCTGCACATCAACAGCTGGAGTTTTAATGTCTAGATCCGGTGCAGAGAGGTTGAGCTTTGGTGCCTTGACATCTAGATTCGGTCCTTCCAGTTCAGCTTTTGGCAGATTCATATCTACCCGAGGAGCCGACATGTTTAAGTCTGATGCTTGTATCCCTGCATTTATCTCTGGAGTTTTCATCTTTGATTTATGTAAGTTTAGCTTTGGCATTTTAATAGTTGAGAACTTGTGCTTTCCAGATGGAGCTTTAACATCTATATCAGGTGCTTTTACATTAACATTTGTGTTTGTATCTATCTTTGGTGCTGAGAGACTCAAATCGGGTATTGATACATTGGCATCTATTGGTGTGTTTAGATTTGCATCAACACTTGCCTCTGGTACTTTTACTTTCATAGGTTTTGCTTTCTTTAATTTGGGAAATTTAAACTTGCCAGATGGAGGTTCAACATTTACTTTTGGTGTTTCGATGTCAAGGTTTGGATCACAGGTCATGTCTACTTCAGGGGTGTTCATTTCTCCATTAATCTTTGGGGCTGACAGACTTAGCTTAGGGGTTTTTAGGTCAGTGTTAAGGTCTGGGGTGGTTAAATTCACATCGCCATCAACCTTTGGTTTTTTAGCATGTAGATTGAAGTTGGGCTTTTTGAACCTGTACGTTTTGGTTTTCAATTCAGGTTTATCCACATTAATAGAAACATCCGGCGTGTTTATACTAGGGGTGGAGACACTGACATCAGGTGCTTCTAATCTGCCATCCAGACCTGCTCCTTCGAGATTTGGTGCAGACATGCCAAAAGTTGGCATTTTGAACGCTGGGCGGCTGAAGTTTGGTGTGGCATTCTTTAGATCAATCTGTGGCATTTCTGCATTTACTGTTGGGTTTGAGATGGCACCCTTGAGGCTTGGGGCATTTATCTGTCCATTCAGTCCATTAACCTGAACACCTGGTGCTTGAAATCCTGCCTCACTGTTCAATTGGAGATCACCAAGGGACTAAAGAGGAAAAAGAGATGAAGATATGATGAGATGAAGACATGATAGCTTCAGTGATTTAGCTTGATTTTTTTTCTCTCTCTTTTTTTAATTCACAAGATTGCTTACCACTCCTGATTTTAAGTCTTTTGTTGTCTTAAGTTCAAGGTTGTTGTCATAGGGCTCAATGATTTTGATCAGTTTTAGCACATCATCTTTACTAAGGTGCTCCAGATGAATTGTTGCAGAAACAAGCTCATGTCCTGGAAGAAACAAAAAGAGCGGATAAGGTATGTTACAGAATCTATGAAGTTTACTTGTATGATTGAGGCAACATATTGGATACATGCTCACTTTATGTGAGTTATTTACCTTTCTGCAGGTTCATTTCTGGATTTGTTTTTCCTGTGATGATGGCACCTCCTTTCTCTGTGCCCTCCAGAGTTACACTCTTTGTTTCTCCATTCTGCACATGAACAAGGTAACTTACTACCATATATTAAAATGCTTTGTTTATAATCTCATAAACACACTTAATATTATATGCTTCAGGAAAAATGTAATTTAAGGTGCTGTAAATGATTATTAGCCATGCTGAAACATCCAGCAGACTTAACCATTGAATCAGACATGGCTAAACAAATCTAGGTAAAAGGGATAATATTGAACCTCTAAATTGCTATTTTGGAGACTGGGTACTTACCATCATGTCTTCGCTCCTTTAAATACAACTGGACATGTCACGAAAACCAGTTTTCAGGAGATCTGTCAAAACAAAAAAGAACAAGACAATGTTATCATTCGGGAATGGTGTTATGCGAGCGAGCATTCAATTGAAGATATCATTTAAAATTAAAAATTTTCACCTGAAATGACTGACCTAAAGTCATTCAACCAAGCATTTTATTTTAGTATTTTTAGGAACATATAAAGGAAGTAGGCTACAGTGACTTATCGGAATTTGAGGCTATCTCACACCTCAAAGCAAGAGAACCCTCTGCTGATTCAGAACAAACCAGCTATTACACACCAAATTCATGACATCGTTACTCTATAAATGGACATAAGTGTGCACTTCCTTGCAGCATCTTTAACCCCTTCCCACACTCCTTTAGACACTTGTTACATCTATATTGCATCATTTTCAGTAGCCTTGCATTGACTGGGAATAAAGATAATATGAAGCACCACTGTTACAGTTTTTTAAAATATGAAAAATAGTTGATAGTTGCATTTTTTTATCAATAAATTATTTTAATATTTACTAAAAAACAACAAACATTGCGCTTTGAAGAAGGGAAAGAGGAAGTGGCAGTGAAAAGTTAGGAACCACCTCCAGTTTTTCCAAAAGATGTAATCAGCTGTAATGCAGTTCTAGTTAATCAGATGTTCAACAAGACTAGACTTCACCTCATAGTTAGAATGTTTGTTAAAATGTGTATAACAGGAAGATACTTTTCCATGTTGTTGGCAAACCACATTTCTTAAAGACAAGATACAAAAAAAAAAAAAATGCTCCCTTTGCCATGTAAAGTCAAAGCCAGGTTTGCAACCTGGCAGCCAATCACATGGGCACATGTCATGTGACTTTATGACATCATGACATATTCAATAGGCTTGTTCGACTTCATGCAGCTCTGCGCAGACCGATCGGCGGCTGACTTGAAACAGTGCATGCCGGTTAGAAATTTTGTCCGACTTGATGCAGCGCTGACTCCACGTGACTGTGACATATGCCATCAAAGTACCGCGAGAGCAATACGAGAGTAGCCGGAGGACTCAGCCAGCGCAGCTTCTCAAGAGCGGCTGCACGAGCTCTGATGATGTCACAGCTGTTCCACGATTCGCCGGATTCAACGCATGACAACGATCACGTGCGTTTCATGTTTATTCTCATACATTTAGTTCCACTAAGGCTCACAAATCAGTTTTTTATAACAGTAAATAGTCTTTTCATGTAGTCGCGATGTTATATTGTATCATGTTTATCATATTATCAAAATAAAACTGATTAAAAAACGTTGACTCCACGTCATTGAATTTTTTGAACTTTATTCTAGTTCAAACAGATGCTGTATGAAGCAGTAACCTTTTGAATGAAAATGTGTCTGAAATATCTGTTTATTTGGCAAATGTTTCATTTATTTCACTTAAGCTGTGGTAAAGCATGCAAACACCACGTGAGCCGTCAGTACGGGAACCAGAAATTGTCCGACTTCACGTCTCCGTTTGCAGCTCCTCCCCGCCTGCACGCGGCTAATCTCGCCGATCGGTTGCATCCAGCCGCAGCCGATGTCGAACACACCTAATCTCACACTAACATAGTCCTGCAAAATATATCATCTGCAGGCCAAAGTTTTCAGATTTCAGAGTGTAAAACACAGCTAGTCTAATCTCCTATTACTCAAAATAAAATGCTTTTTAACATGGTATTATCTTTAAATGGGTGATGAACTGAGAAATCAAATTTTCGTTGAGCTTTTGACATCTAAGAGGTCATCATATTATAAGAAAATCTTGTAAGGTTCAGAATCAGAACTGAAAACGTCCTTGTTAGTCCAATAAAAGCTTTTATTGACACCAGCCTCAGCAAAGCCCGCCCACCGATTGGCGCACTACACGCATAGTTTTTTTTTTTTTTTTTCAAAAAAATTTAAATTTAAATTTTAATTTCCAAAATTATATATTAATACACTAGAAAAAACAATTCACATAACTACATGCATAGCTAGCTAAATAACATAGGTACCTCGTGATGACAAACCGGATGAAAAAGCTAACGAGCAATACAAAATATTGTGCAGTGCCTGGTTGTGGAAGACTGTCGCTGCATATGCTTCCTCTGGATTCCAATAGAACTGCATGGATAAACTTTATTTTTCATGACGTTCCAGCTGATGAGGTAAAACATTGTCCATCTGTTTGCTTCATTTCACTGAGGATTGTTTTGCAGGGGTGGTAAAAGTACTCAAAAGTTATACTCGAGTAAAAGTATAAATATCTAAATGAAAAAATTAATTACTCCAGTAAAAGTAGAAAGTCCTCCATTCAAACATCACTTGAGTAAAAGTACAAAAGTATCCCATTTCAAACGTACTGATAAGTACCGAAAGTAAAAAGTAAATATTCAAATTAACTGTAATTATCAAGAATTAAGCAGATCAATTGTTTTGGGAGTGATATGCAATGTTTTATTTGAACAAATGATAATAATACAATTAAGAATTTGTGAGCTAGCTGTTTACAAGGCATTTTGTTAGCTGTTTCAATATGAAATCACTTGGCTAATAATAGTAACATTAAAGCAACACTAAAGAACTTTTCCTCTCCGGTCGCCCTACAGGTTGGAAGCGGCATAGTCCGCTATCGCTGTCGTAAATGTAGCCTACCGCAGCCTACTGGCGCGTCCTGTTTATCCACTGTGTATCCAGAACCGGCTTTAGAGTGAACGTTGTCCAATTGTAACGCTTGCCGTAAAGTCAAATTTATAGTTCTCATTCGAACTACAGAAATGCGACCTGATCTGGCAAACTTATATAATGTGGTTCTAGCAGATATGGGACCACAAAGCGAAGGCAGAAGTGCCTTTCACGCTGTTACGTCTTGATGAACCGCTGAAACAATTTTGGAAACATTATTTTAAGGTAAAAAGGTAATTTTCTTTAGTGCTGCTTTAACGTCAACTCAACTCAATGCTTTTTTCTCAGATTTGATGATGAAGTTTTGAATGCTGAAATTTTATTCACCCGTGGCAGGCAAAGACGACATTTCAGCCGATATAAATCTCCCTTGACTTCAGTGAATTCGAACATATCATTGATATATGGCCATGGGTGATCCCTGTCGGAAATCTTGGGATCGTTGCTGGCAGCGACAGCTGTACCTTCACCTGTTTCTGCGGTCAATGGCGAACTGACTGCTATGTGAGCGTATGCTGGCAAAGAGCTTATAAATAAAACATACTCAAGTAAAGTACATCGTAAAACGTCCTTGTTAGATCCCCGAAAAAACTACTTAAGTAAAGTAACGAAGTATTTTTACTTTGGCACTTACCACCACTGTTGTTTTGTAAACAAGACTGGATTTACAGACCGATTAAGAGTAAAGAACGGTGCTGTGCCATCTATATTGGATCTGACAGGAATTGTGCAACACACAGACTCTGGGTCAAACATGTATAAGCGAATCATTCCGGTTGCCATTTTACAACATTGGACGTTTTCTAAATTTCCCCCAAGTGGACCGACGGGTGAGTTGAAACTCATTATAATATGCAAAACTGTTATCCACTCACAGCAGTGGGCGTTTACTTCCGAAGTGCGAGACGCCCATAAAAAACGAGTGTTTTTCAGTTAGGCTCAAAAATAGGGCACAAAATAGCCTATTACTTATTCATTTTGATGTTTTTGAATGCAAAAACCAAGCGAAAAGTTGACCTTAGACGACAATATAATAAAATTTAAAAAGCCAGTTCATGACCCCTTTCACAGATTTTGTATGCTTTTGTGTGCGTGTGGTTTTTGTCAGGAATGCTTTAGGAATGGATGGACTGTGGAGAATGAGGAGAACCAGTTTGTTCAGATGAAAGAAAGATGAGGAGATAAATACCAGGGGCCTGATGTATAGACGTTACGCATGCTCAAAAAAGGCATTGGAATGTGCGTACACAATTTTCCACATATATTACAAGATAAAAAACAAAACAAAAAACAAAATAACAAAAAACAATGTTATTTGACCGCACAAATGGCATTTATCTCATGTAGCTCATGTTTTCCTGATGTCTTGTACGACGAACATGGTATCATGTGGATGGGAACATGCATATGGAAATTATATGCATAGTAAGTTTCAAGTTTGGTTTATTGATAATGCACCATTAAAACAGCAGCAGCTGACCAATGTGCTTTACAACATCGGATAAAATAAAAGAAGGAGACAACGAATTTCACAAATAAAATCAGAGACAATTTTCAAACTAAATAGCAAAAGAAAATCAAACTGACGTCAAATGCAAAAATAAGGAACATTAAAGGCAATGAAAAAAGAATGAGTTTTGAGCAAAGATTAAAAATCTGTAATCTGTGAACTGGTAACCTGTTCCAGAGTTTAGGGCCCTCAACAGCAAAGGCACGTCCTCCTCTTTTGTTTTAATCTGGCTCATGGGAACAGTGAGCAATCTATGACTATCGGAGCGAAGAGCTCGAGAAGGGTTATGTAGGGATAGAAGTTTAGATCGATACTTAAAAACAAAGACTAGGGTTTAAAACTCCACTCTAAACCGCACAGACGGCCAATGCAATGATGCTAACACAGCGCTAATGCGAGTGAATTTACGGAGCCCCAATAAAAGTCTTGCTGACGCATTTTGGACCAACTGGAGACAGGCCAAGGACGTAATGTCCATTCCACAATACAGTGAGTTACAAAAGCCAAAATGCGATGGTATAAAAACGCGAATTAAAACTAGGCATTGCTCCATGCATGGCTATATGGTAATAGACGGGGTGGAGAAGCATGTATTTCCACTGACTGGGTTTTATAAAGGAATTTTGCACAGGTTCTGGCATATGCATGGCTTTATAAATCTGAAAACTTTTGTGCACGTGCACACTTTTAAGATGAAATCTGCTAAAAGTCTGTTTTCCAATTTTATCTGATTTGTCTAAAGCACATTATTCAGAGTGGATGATTGGAATGGCTATGTGGTCTTTAGATTTTTAGTCTCAAGATCAGAATGATAATTACTCAGTAAAGCCTTGAGTTTAATCAGCAAAGGAAATCATACAATGTGTTGTTTCTGTAAAAAAAAAAACTGATGCTAAAAAGCTATATTTGTTATCATAATACTTATAATTATATAGCCTGCACATGATGCAGGATGAATAAGTGCTAAACATTTCAGCAAAATAACAATGTTTCTCCTGTTGAAATTTTTGTGAATGCTCTTAGTTTCTAAGCTAGTGTTAATCACAAAAACCTCAATCGACTCACATTTATAACAACCTGGGCAAAGGCCACAGCAAACACTTATTAAAGGAGCTGCTTCAATATTCAATTTTTTTTTTCCCCCATAGTAAATAATCCATCAGTTTACATTAAAGGCAAAGATGCCTGAACACAAAAACATGAGCAGGATGATAAATTACACAATGATGTTCTTTCTGATTCTGTCTGTTTTACATGAGCAGCAATGAACCGAAAAGTGGGGAGTGAGACACTTACCTAAAGTCGTTCATGTATCTTTAGCTATGTATCTCTAATGTTGACACCTCTACTCTCCAGGTGAATGTGGCTCTCATCCTCTCTGTCATGGGGTTTCCATCAGATTTATGCTTTTGGAGCCGCCAAACAGGTTCTGCAACATCAGCATGACAACCACACACACCGAAACTACAGGTACAGAGAGTAAGTTTTAAAGTGATGCCTAGGGTTGTGTGTTTAGATGTAATTTTGTGGCATTATGCGCTTAAATGTTCTTGTATGTTTTGAATCAATTGTGATGTTTTTTTTGGGGGGGTCTTCTGCGTCATGGAGAACTTTGATCAGGTAGACAAAGGAAAAACCTGCATTTGTTAATGTCATATAATAGACAATCTCATATTTGAAATATATATGCTGAGTTGAACTATGTTTTAGTTGAGGATGTGATCAAATATGTAATATTTGAGGGGACCAAATGTCAAATCGTGGGTATAGCTACAGCCCTGGTTTCAGTCAGATCATTAAAAACCTAACATAAACATTCCCTGAGAAAAAAAAAAAATGATTTAAGTGTGTTTTGTCAAAAGTGAAATATTCCAAGCAAACTGTTGTGTTTGCAAGGGTTTGGCCTCACAGTCTTGAGCCACACACCCTACTCCCTTCACACAGTTCTTTCTTAAAAATGCATTTGAATGCATAGGGCTACAGAAAGGTTTCAGCTGGAAGTTTTGAAAGTTTCAGTTAAGGGATTGTTCACATTGAAATGAAAAAAATCTTTCTTTTTTCTGTGTGATATTAAAGAAGATATTTAAAAAAAAAAAAAACTTGAACATTGGTTCTGACTGACTTGCATTGTATTGACAGAAAAGTAGACATTCTTCAAAATCTTTTTTTGAGCTCCACAGGAGGGTGAATAAATGATGACAGAATGTTAGGGGAACTATCCCTTTAACCCAGATTGAAAAGTATTTCGGAAGTGATTGTTCAGATTTCTCAGCACTACTGAGGCATATTCAGTTAAATTTTATTGTAAGAGTTCTTTTTTTGTTTCAGTTCACTGTAGTACATCCACATTTCTAAGTGATAAGTAATATATTAAGCATGCTTTGAAAAGTATTAGTATTAGTCACCCACCTTGCAACCACAAGCTCTTGGCAACACAAATAGATCCCTTCATCCTAGCCACTATTCATAACAGAACACAGCTTTCAAGAAAAGACTATATGTCAATGCAGATATGTATGGACACTAAACTGTTCAGCAATTGTGAATGCTTACAGTGTATGAAAGTTTATGAATGGAATGAAATTGGATGCGTTCACTCTATAAACAGCCTTGACTTTATTTCCATATAGGGAAATAAAGTTATATATATATATATATATATATATATATATATATATATATATATATATATAAACAGTAAAGGCTTTAATTGATTATCTGCCTTTTATTTTTGACTATTATAATACCTTTAAACATTACTATGTCATTATTTACTATTTTACATTTACAGTTTTTAGACTTTTGGACTATACATTTTAAAAAAAAGTTTGTTTATGCAAAATTTACACTTTTATTCACTATTTTAAAAATTATATATTAGTTAATTTAGAATTTATGTAAAGCATCACACCAAACACATTTTTCATTAGTTTTTTTAATAATAGAAATGAAAAGGAAAATGGAAGAAATGACATTAATTAAAAAAAAAAAAAAATCTTACATCATGATCAGAGAGTAGTTTATTAGTGTCATTACCAAACTGATTTAACAGGAATAATTTTTTTCTTTTAAGTTTAAAGTTCATGGACTTCCTAACGTCCTAATCCTTTTCTTAAAAAAAAACTAAAAATGACATTATCATCACACGCAATAAACATTCCACATATTGTGAAACATTTGCAGAAGTTTCATTTTGAAAGATTTCAAGAATAGCCAAAAGTGCATCTAACTGAAGATTCACCCGTGCATGACCTGTTTTCTCTGTGTACTCAGCAAAGCTCTTGTTGACTGCACTGGCATGAACAGCCACAGATGTATTACCGAACCTCAAAAGAGAGTGTTAGAGAGAGGAAAGCACCTTGTGTGCTTAGCGTAGGCTAATGCATGAAGCTTGACTGTGGCATTGAGCTTGTGCACATGTTGTGGCAAGAGCAGTACTTTCGCCTTAAGGGATGACTTTGGAGCTGAGTCTTTGACTTTTATTTATTCGAGTTACATCCAAGTCTTAGCGTCTGGGCATCAGGTATGAACTTGCCTCTCTCATTGTATCTCTGTAATGAAATAGATTCACCAGAAAGCGGGAAACAAAAGCTCTCCTCGAGCTGTAAACGTGTTAAGGCCTCACCATTAATTAAGGAAGAACCTCACAGCAATGGAAGCAAAAACTCAACAATGAAAGTTGCTTCACACTTCAAACAGGTGTCTGAATCAGTACGGCCAAAGGCAATCTAGGGGAGCACAAAAAGAGCACTTTACTCAGTATGGCCCTAGTTGAGAGGTGAATTGTTTAGTTTATTTTTTGGCTGCTTTCGCTGTGGTGCTACAAAATGTGGTCGGGCAACTGTTAGTTTGAATGGTGAAAAACACATTTTTGTCATTGCACATACCATCTGCACTGTACTGAATGCTCCAGATACCACTGATCTGGTTGTGACATACCGGTACTTACATCGTTTAAAAAACACTAAGATGCCACAGATGCTTTTGTTTATTTTCTTTTTATGAAAAGTTCTGACCATAATTTAATATCATGATGTAGATTACTTTTTTTTAGATAACACATTTTTAAATAAACATTGCCATTTCTTGAAATATGGTTCATTTTATGTATTTTATAATTATTCACAAATGTTTCTTGAAACTTTGGTAGCACTATTTGTCTGAACTTTATTTTTACAGTACTTTCAATGTACTGAGTAATACAAAGTAACATGGGTTACGATTAGATTTGGGAGTAGGTTCCTCTTTTTACATTTTCCATGTTATGGAAATGGTTATATTTTATATCACATTAATGACATGCGAATCATTTTAAAGAAATTGGTCAGGATTTTTACATAGTTTTCCTGATTTTAAGAAGGTCGTTTAGTAGCTACCAATGCCAGGATAACAAAATGGCTGTTGCATTTAATAGCCACTTGCATGATCTGCAAAATATGATTATTTTGTCAACAAATAGAAAAGTAAGTGTCTCCCAGAAACACAAATTTCATATAATCCCCAAGAGGGATAAAAGTAAACATTTGGCATACCATAACCATCTTTATATACTTCTGGGCTATAAGAATATGTATTATTCAATATTAGAGTATAGCAGAAGTGAGATAAAATAGATGTGGTCTGAGGGAGGTGGAGGAATGCTGAAAGAATGGTAATTGAACTTAAATATTTAAGCAGATTTTTTTAAAGGCGCTATACTTATAGTTACTGTCTAAATCAATGTAAGACTCACTGTGAAAATAATACAAAGTCTGCAGGCTGCAGAATAGATTATGCATTAGGGACATCCATATACAAATTAAGGGTCTATTCAATTTAGGGTAATTCAGACATGTCTGACATTCCTGTTGGTTCCGAGTGACATGCATGGCCATTGAGTCAGTGCTCTTGGCAATGTGTAATATCCTTGTAAACTAGGTGCGGCAGGGATTGAGCATGGTGAACACACTTCAGCGGAATGCCACCACTCCACATTCTCATGCAGGTATTTGAAACCCAATGCAACTGCACAACTTAAGTCGAAGAGAAGCATAAAAAGATCATCATTTTAACACATATCCAGCGGACAGGATGTGCGAATGGTGGAGTGGTAGCAGTGTCTCTCAAGGGCACTTGTAGAACTCGAGCGCAAAGCAAACTTTCTCCAGCTGGACAATAACTGTGTTTCTTCCACTAAGAGCTTAGTGAACTTTAAGTTTAACTTCTTAAATAGTATTTCTGAGGAGAATTGTTTTAGTATGTTTTATTTATTTAAGTAATAAAAATGACCACTATTTTCATTTTTACTACGGTTTAAATGATGTATTGTGTTTAGCAATAGCAGCATTATAAATGACATTTTAAACATTAGCCTGATTCGGGAATGTTGTGTAGAAGTGAACACGTGCCTCCGGTCCAATGCTAGAACTCACGGTTCAGTCTTTTTCTTTATTTGCCAACGCATTTCAGGCCTTCATCAGGGCTAAAAGTATACTATACACTGTTGAGGACAGTGAAATGTCATTTTCAAATTTCAAGAAACCATCATGATTTGAGCTTTGTGAAATGGCACATTATCCTGCTGAACATGGCCAGCAACACACAGGAAGGGTGATAAGTGCTGAAAGTGTGCCAAGAAAATATCCCTCACACCATTATATCATCAGCAGCCTGAACCATTGATAGGTTAGATCCATGATTTCCTGTTGTTTATGCCAAATTCTGACCCAACCATCTAAATGTCGCAGCACAAATCGAGACTAATCAGACCAGGCAACGTTTATCCAATCTTTTATTGTCCAATTTTGGTGAACACATGAATTGTAGCCTTAGTTTGCAGTTCTTTAGCACACCCGGTGTGGTCTTATGCTGCTGTTGCCCGTCTGCTTCTAGGTTGAACGTGTTTTGAGCTACTGTTGCCTTTCTATCAGCATGAACCAGTCTGGCCATTCTATTCTCCTCTGGGTAAAAAATGCCTTGTTGATGCCAGAGGTCAGAGAGCTGCAGCTCACTGGATATTTGGGCAAGATAAAACTATTTGAAAATCTGGAAACTAAGGGTTTCAAAAACATTGAAACATTGAGAAAAATCACCTTTAAAGTTGCCCTTTTATGTTCGCGATTTTGTTGGATTCACTCACAAAAATAAATGTTTTATATATTTACAGTAGGACATTTACAAAACATCTTCATGGAACAAGATCTTTCATTAAAGGGGAACTTGGCAAATATTTAAACTTAATAAAACCATTTAGAAATCATTTGAATGGTTTAATAACCTGTTCTGGTGAAAATAGTGACTTTCCCCCCTCCCCTCCCAGGTAGACAACCAACCTAGCAACATGGGGGACTAACATCCCGGTAAGTTGGAAATCTGAAGTCTTGTGAGAAGTGAGAACGAG